GCAAATATGCACAAACAACTTCACATCGTGTCCTTTTCCTAACAGGACTTATTTCCATTTTTTTTTCTCCTCAGCTATTTTTCACAACTTTCTCTTCTCATTCTCTCCTTAGGATTTTTTTTCTAATATTTCTATTTCAACTTGCAAGAGGCATTATCTGCCTTCTCAGAAGTAACTGGATAAGCTTGCAAGGACCCAGTAAAACAAAGACTAACAACTGTTCCCTTGCAGACAGAACAGTAAGTCTCTCAAATACTATAAATTTAAAAGAAGTTTAATTTTGAAGTACTCCTAATTTTGTGAAAATGCTTTTTACATTCTGACTAATGCTGAACAACGTTGCCTAAACAAAACACATGTCACTAAATGATTCTCCAGAATGAGAAATACGGTAACACTCCATCAGCCTGGTGGACAAAGTACCAGTGAAGAAACACTTGACAGTCAGGAATGAACGGGAAACCAGAGACAAGTCAGTATATGAGAGGTGAGAGGTAACCAAACATCTAAAAGCAGGTGTAACTGTTCTAAAGAAGGAAATCACAAATAATTTTTTTTTTTTACCTCAAATGAGCACTCTTTCAAAGCTGGGGTAACTCATACAGCCTTGGACAACCATAATGCAATAAGAACAGCATTTTTTCCTTACTAGGCAAATGATCTTATATAAAACAAAAATAATACTATATAAAAAAGGGCCCTAAAAATCCAGTTTGCTTAAATTCTGGCACAGATTCAGTACTAGGGGTGAAAGGTCACTGCTTCATTAACTGAAACAACTCAATTAAAATTGTAGCTTAATGAAAAAGTCAAGATGATCATAAAAAACCCAGGTCATCCGGAGAACATCACTAAAAAATCTCAAACATCCTGTGCTTAATTGGCAGTAAACTTCTTGATCTGGCCTATTTGAGCAGTGGCAAACCACTACAGAACACTCTAATACAATTCAAAGATACAAAAGACAGAACTCCATCAAATTTAAACTAAATCAGTATATATAACTTAGAAGTACATCAAAAGATTTGCATGTGGAGGACAGTATGTGCCTTCCTTCTGGAAAATAAGGCTTTCTAAGTCCTTCACAGAAGAACATGTTAGAGAGTCAAAATACAATAATACTAAAAGGAAAGATCCCAAATACAAGACTGATTTTGACAACAGACTTTGAGATTCCTAAACAGAACTCTAAGAGACAAAGCTCTTTTTACCAGAAAATATTTGGGAATTGCTGTGCAAAGAGAGGCTGTACAAAAGGCTTACCATAATAAGATAATAATTTTCAAAGCTATTTACTTAATGAGATTACATTGATATTTTAGTATCCCTTACATTTCTGGGGGAAAAAAAAAACAGAGGTTGCTGCAAAAGAAGTATTTTGCAAAACAAAGACCGTTCACTTGAAAAAGGCTATGTCTGCATTCTCAAAAAGGTACTGAGGGGCAGGCAGCATTACCTACCAACTACTCACAGTGTTCGAAGGAAAATATAATACAGTCTTGGGCTCCCATTGTATACATTTAGAAACAAGTCCAGCAGAAAATTCTTATGTTAAATTCTTAGATAATAGGGAGAATTGAGGATTACAGATCATAGTTCAAAACTTTGACCTGACAACAGGATTATCCCAGTAATCTTCACATATGATCAGCAGACAAAAAACAGATTGTAATCAACAGACAAGTCAAAATAGTTATATGCTTGCACATATGTCCACTCATACACAGTAAAGTATGGAAACACAGAATGGGTTCACATTAAACAAAAAACTACACGCTCAAAGCAAAAATATATAATGGTACTATGAAAAAAAGTTCCCAGTTTTCACAATAATAATACTTTTACAATGATGCAATAATATTAAAGCCTTAATAAAATATAACACAATTTATCATCATACCATCTCCATTTAAAAATTATCCAGAAAGTACTAGTAAAAGATAAACATGTAAAAAGTCTTACTAAGGATAAAACACACACATTCCATTAGACATTACAGCAAAATGCAGTAATTCCTGCACTATTCAAATTCACTCTGATGAAGTACTCTTGTACTCCTGTGGGTATTAAGAGAAACATGGTCTTAGATGGTATACATACAGTCAAAATATGTACATGTTTCTAGAAATGAAAATTTAACCAACACCAAAAACAAACCATTAAAAATAGATATCAAAGGTGATAAACCCTGTCTTTAAGGTATTAATTACATATACATTGGGTATTCCTTAGAAGCAAACTAGAGTAGGTCATGTTTGATTTCATGAGTGAGAAGTCAGGAGCAACAAGTATTTTGGCTTCCTATATTACATCTGGCTGGTGGGTGAATGAGGAGTTTAGATTCCAATACTATAATGGGAAATCATAAAACAGGAAATTCTCACAGTTTTAAACAGCATGCAATCCTAAAAACACTGGAGTCAACTTTGTGCCTTTTAATTAACTGCTAAGCCATTTCTTCACATACTTGATTCTTTATGGGGACCTCAATAGCCATACGCAAACCTGGTTTCTGAAACTTTGTAATGAGAGTCACAGTGCATAGCTACCCTCTGCCCATTAGACATAACCCAGCTTTCCTAATGATAGTGGCAGCACGCTGCTATCAGAAATGGCAAAAACTACATTAGTTACTTTTTACTACTTTTAAAATGCAATACAGTAGCTAAAAATAAGGAAAATGATATCAGTCTTCTCATTAATAACCACAAACAAAGCTCCATGGAAGGCCACAAATTGTAATTTCTGCATCTCAAAAAAACAGGTTCTATTCTTCGAGAACATCATTAATTGCAAGATTTAATAGTCAATGTATTTAGTTATAAAGGCAAAGAAAAGCACACTCACCACCAAACTGACTCAATAGTATTATTTTGCACTTACATATAAATTTGCATTCTGAAAGGAGAATTTTAATCTTAGTCCACTTTAGTCGCGTTTACTATTAATACGTTATTTTAAACAATAAACTTTAGTCTTTAAACTTGTTTTCCACTTTTATGGATTTCAATATGGCATACTCCCATTGCACCAACATTGTCTTTAACATATTCCTTCTTCTAAGATTGATTGGTTCAGCGCATGAGGGCTTGCTCATTACTTCACCTTTACCAGTAAGTATCTCCTTAAGGCCTAAGGCATTAGGTTAAAGAGATCAGATTAAGTAAAAATTGTTTTTCAGAGGTTTATTTTGATTTAATTTCAGGATTTTAACTTCCTTTCATCATGCCGCAACAAAATTACCTCCATCCTAACCTTCAACAGCCTGCTTTAGCTATATGGGATTTTTTTGTTCATTTTTCCATAACGTACAACAGTATATTTACTGCCTTCAACCTAAGACAGTAAATTACCTTGTTGAAAAAGAGTTGCCTGTTTACTATAGGCAGAGCAAAACACTGCACAAGTTGGTGGTCTGGCAAGTGTGAAAACAGCTAAGGCAAAGGTTCAACTTTATGGTTACCATAGTCTATTTATCTCAGTACCCTTCCATAACTATTTGTTGAGACACATACAATCTAAAAAATAGTCCATATGGAAACATCTTTTAATAGGCATTAGGTGAGCCAACAGATTATGTTTCTGACAACCAAAATCATTATCATAGTTCCAAAAGGAATACTTAATGAGTAGCAAATTATTTAATATAGGTTCTAATTATTTAATATGGGTTCAACCCAGGGAGGTTGTGGAGTCTCCTACTCTGGAGGTCTTCAAAACCCGCCTGGATGCCACCCTGTGCCACATGCTCTAGGTGTGCCTGCTTGAGCAGGAAGGTTGGACTAGATGATCTG